TTTATACATGTTTTAATTTATTTTAATTGTATATGTATTTTATATCTACAAATATGTTGGGTAAAACATGGGTAGATGAATTAGATGATGTGTGATGAATTGAAAAATGATGAGAGGTCACAATGTTTAAGATGATCTAGTCATCTAGGAGAGTATAGACAATGACCGCAGACTATTCTAGACAATCCAGTGAAACGTTAGCAGGCCCGTAACCTGTAGGTGTTTTTGAACTAGGTTTTCATTAGGTATTTTCGAACTACGTGTTTACCAGATGTTTTGAACTACGTGTTCACCTGTTGTAATTTAAGAGCCCTGACAGCAATGGACTTTGTGTCTATTCCTTAGGAAGATACTTAGGAATGAATGAATGAAGGACATATGATTCTTAGGATAAATTTTTAAGAATATAGAAGATAGATGGGTAATTGGGTTGATTGTTTGATGATTAAACATAATAATTATATTATTATCGGTTGAAAACCCTATGTGATCACCAGGTTCCCCAACCTGACCCACTCAGCTTATTTGTATCACAAGTGTTGATACAAAGCTACATTACACTGAGAGATTAAAAGAGATGTGAATCATTAGTGCAAATAGATGTAAGGTTTGTTTATGCTTATGTTTTTGTATTTACAATGACATTCCAATGTTTTAAAATGAATAAAATACATTTTTCGGAAATGTTTTGATAATGTATTTATCATATTTTTCTGGGAACAAATTCCGCAACATTTTTCTTTAAAAATGAATACTTTGATTTTCAAATAAACATAAATAAAATTTGAAAATAACCGTGAATTATGGGATGTCACAATATGATATTGATTCATTATTTTTTGAGTATTTTTCTAGGTTTTTAGTATGTGTCTCTCTCTAATAAAGTTGTCGTATTCTTTCCTCATCTAAGCCTTAACTCGCTCATCTCGTTCTTGCTTATTCTCACTTAGGTTTAGATCTGTAAATCAACTTGGTTTACAGAGGAGTGTAGATTAGGAGAGTGATGTAGTAAGATTTTTTTTTCTGTAAATTTGAGAGAAAGTGTGAATGTAGAGATATTTGATTTTGTAAAAGTAAAGGGATCTTGTTCTTATAATAAAGGAGAGTACACCAACACACATATACACTTGCTGATTTCTTTTTCTTTCTATCGATGTTAACCAAGAACATGTAAGAAAATAACTTTTGACCTTTTCTTTTATTCAAAAGTCATTTAATATCATTATTTCATTTTCCCGTTTTTCTTTCCCCTTTGCATCTAATTCAGAAGATACTAACTAGAATTCCAATTTTGTATTCTTTTCCACTAGATAAATATTTGGAGTTTTAATTTAACTTAACCCAATGAACAATGTGGGTTACCTATTGTAATTAGCCCAATAACGTATTCCTTATCCATTAATATAAATAATTAGAAGCCCACTACCATTAACTTTTATTTGGAATGTTATATGAAACAAGAGGATATAGATCTCACCCACTATTGACCTCGCTTTGAAACCCACTATTGGTTACAAAGTTTGTAGGGTTTTACTTTTTATGCACAAAATAAAGATATTTCTCCCTCTTACCTTTTTTATTTATGACTAAAATATGACAACACAATTCGATGGTTGTAGTCCATCATCGGCCCATCAATAACAGGCGCTAGTAGTGATGGCACTCACTTTGGCCCCTAGACTACTACCATCTATGGTGGTGAGATGACATTCCTAAGTACTTTGCTTTTACAAATTTACCAACCTTCCTTATAACCATTATTTTGCTTCAATTTCAAAAGTTTTTTATTTGAAAAATTAAACCCCTACATTTCTGATTTCTTACATTTCACTTTGGTCTATTGGCAATTTAACCCCTTTAGAAAAGAATTGTTAAACGAACAATTATTTTGTAGTCGTCTTTTTCCTTGTTTTTACCGAGAACTTTATTTATTTATATCATTTTCATTATGGAGTACGGAGATGACAATCTATAAGAAATCTTAAGTTCAAGCTTTAAATCACGTTTTTAAGGGACATTGTGATTTATCTTTTCATATTGGCTACCAGACAACCTTTCAATGCCTATGGGTCACATATTTTCTTTTCATATTTTCACACTTGGTTTTCATATTTTCACACTTGGTTCATTAAGATGACGTATCAATCTCGTTTGAATCATGCCCATATTATTTCTCCAATTGTCATCTACGAGGTATATTGTCATAATTGGTAGACATATGTCTAACCTTCAAATATTTTTGGCATGATGGAAATTTTTTAAGAATTTTTTCGGTATAATGTAAATGTAGTTTTTTCAAACATGGTATCCCCAACATTTTGTTAAGTATCCGCCACTGATCATCATGAATAACTAAACTAATATATTTGTTAGATAATTAAAATAATATATTTTTGTTAGATGTACTGTCTTTTTTATTTCTAACTCCTTATTTCTTGGGGTGTGTTTTAAGGTCACAAATATGGATGTATTGGTTATAGTTAGGTGATCATATTCATATATATTTATTGTCATGTGAGATTCATGAGACGTGTCCCTTTTATACAGTCTTCATGTTTTTCCTGTTTCATATAATCATGAATTGCGTTTGGTTGTTTCTTTTTGATGTTTGTATAATTAATTAAAATTCTCTTTATTGTGTCTGATGGTTTCCTTCTTATATTTTATGTGGCTTATATATTATGTTATTATTGTGGCCTACGCATGTCAGCAATAAGGATATGAGTTGCCACTATTCATCCATACCATTCATATATAACGTACCTACTTATAAAATTGGTCTCTCCTTGCTGTCTCCTCATTTATTTATCATATATCCATTTCATCGGTAACCTACTCCATGTTAGATTATTTTTGACAGACATTCTCACATGTAAAGGAAATGCTATATAAATATAACAAAAAAATAGCAACAAAATAGAATAAAGCTAACAAAAATAACACAACAAATAGCATATATTTGATTTCATTAACAAAAGGCAATTTCTATACGTACCCCCATGTTCTGTATCCCTCTATATGTGAGTGTAATAGTGTTTGTGCCCCCCACCCCCACCCCCATGTGACACTGTATGTGAGTAAATGGGGTACTTATAGCACAACCCTAACAAAATTCGTTATGAACTTTTCTGTTATATATGATAAGACTTCAATTTGACATGTACTTAAGTGGAGACAAAACGAAAATGGAACATTGAATAGATATCAATATTTAGTTTGTGGAGGTTGTTGAGGGCCAACAAAAATAAATATCATCAATATTACACACTAAAATAGTGTGTAGTGGTATATGGATGGAATCCACAAAAATTGTTCAATTAATTACCTTATGATAATCTTGTTGTACAAATATTTGTAAAACCAAAATAAAATAAATTTGGGGGATTTTGATCTTTTAAAATATTTAAAAGAAAACTAGAATTATACTAAGATTTAAAAACATAATTCAACAAAAGCAATGTTTGATATAAAATAAGTAGAAGATGAATGATTGACTTTGACTTACATAGCATGGACATTTAGCTAACTATCACTAGATATTATGGTGCAAGACTTATAATTCAATTTAATTTGGTTGTATCAACCTTAGAAGCTTGAGGTCATCCCAACTTTTCTCAGTTGGTAAACTAGCTAGAGAAACTCATAACATATTTTTTTAATTAAATTCACAATTTCCATTAAGCACGTAATTAGTGAAAATTAACTAGCATTTAAGAACTAAAAAGTCACCAAATCCAAGACGAGTCAAATGATTTCACTACCATATTGGAGAAAGTATTTTTATGATTGTGTGAAGTAAAAACTAACACAATAACCATTTGTTGCTCACTAATTTGATGACCCATTACTTAATTAGGAAATTAGCCAACTAAAGCATACATCCAAACTCATGAATAAATACATATAGATGGTAAGATGTTCAAATGTAAAACACTTTCATAAAAAGCACCACAAGTTCATAATAGTCTTCAAATAACTAAGCATCCATGGATTTCACCAAAATCAACCAAAGAAAGTTTAGCCTATCATAGTCAAACTCAAGAAAGTAAAATAAAGGTTAGAAGTACCAAGCATATAACAAGAATCAAGAGCAAAATAATGATGTTCTTCAAGTGTTTTTGGTGTTCTTGAGGCTCCAATATGCAGAGAAAAAGCTCTAAAAATCGGATGTGTGAAAGTGTGGAAAAGTGACACACCAACCTCCCCCTTATAACTCAAAACAAGAATTCCTGGAAATGCCCCTGCATAGTTGTGTGTGACTCGCATATTGTTGCGCGGGTAGCCCGTGCGGTGCGGGTGGTGCTGATTTGGGCTCCTTTGTGATTTAGGTTTCCAATGACTTAGGTCCCATTTGATAGTTGTTAACTACGAAAGTGTTGATTGAGAAATGTCTATCTTGGTAAGAAGTCCTGACTGAGTAAGAAACCATGTTGTTTGATTGTACATCTGACTGAAGATACTGACTAATAAAATTGACTAATTTACCCTGCTACTTTATACGGTGATGGATGAAGTTGATGAAGAGTTATAAAAACATACAATTTTTTATACAAAATGTAAATAACACACAAATCATTTGAAAATCCAAATAGAAAATGGTTAACTATTTGTATTTTATGAATGTTGATATATATATATATATATATATATATATATATATATATATATATATATATATATATATATATATTGTATGATTAAACTTTAATATATAATTCTTGAAATTTAGGTTATATAATAAAAAAATGGTTATGTATTTGTATCATTAGAAAGTTGATTTATACTCTATTATCTAATTCTCAATATAAAACTCACATAAATGACTTTTACAAACTAAAAGGCCAAGCCACATAAAAAGAGTTGTTGGATATTAATTCTCACGTTACAATCTCACTCTAATTAATCTTCGCTGTCACCTCACTCTCAAGTCTCACCTATCCTCCATCTCTTCCCAATTAGTCATCGTGCAACCACCCAACCTGCAACTATTAACTCTCTAAATGGAAGACGAAGCAGTCGAAGAAGGCAAAACACCTCTGTTACAGTTCATGCGCGTCTCCTTCTCATGGCCATCATCCTCTGATTCTGCTCTATTCTTGCTCGTTCGAGAATGCAGAACACAGACTCATACTTTTTGCTTGTTGCAGGTGAATAAAATCAACACTGAAAGAGAGAAGGAAGTGGGAAGGAGGTGCTGATAATTGGAGCGTAGGGCAAGGGCATTTTTGGAAACGACTCTCTCTTTCTCACTCATACGACTTCCCTCATATTTTCTGCTCATATCTAGCTTACCGAATCAGACATCTAAAATCCGCTACAAACAACTTTTGCTGACCGAGTCAGTCAGAAACGTCTGACCTAACTCCGTCAGAAGTATATCAAACACAGCCTTAGCCTATTGGCCCAGAACGAGTCCAATTTGTTTGTAGTCCATTGTTCTTCAAGATTTCTTCAATTTTAGCCCATTTCACCTTCTCCAAGTCATCCATAGCTTGTGTACCTACACCGATCATTTTAATCCTAGATGCATAATTCAATGATTCATCCATCACTAGCCCACTCTACGAGTCATCCCCACTAGTATCAAGCCCATAATCCTTGTTATCCTCCAAGACTAATTGGTTCCCATGCTAAGAAAATTGGAAAGTACTCGAAATAGTCATAAAATAACAAAAAGAAAAATATGCATGATGATTAGCTAAATTATGAATAAAATATTCTAAAATAAACTATAAAATAAATAAATAAATAAAATGAAGCTATAGATTTGTACAAAAGATTTCAATATTCTTTACAACCTTATATGATGCCTCATATTACAAAAAAAAGGAGCATCACATATGAATGATTCAAATTAATTAGATAAGTAAACCAAAAATGTTTATATGATGCCTCATGTTACAAAAAAAGGAACATCACATATGAACGATTCAAATTAATTAGATATGTAAACCAAAAATGTTTATGGGAACTCGAGTTCCATGTTTATAGTTGGAATGTGGAAGGAAAGTAACTTACAACAAAATAAAAGATAAACGGACAAGTTATATATATATATATATATATATATATATATATATATATATATATATATATATATATATATATATATATATATATATATATATATATATATATGGGAAAAGTGAATATACCTAACAACCTTATATAAGCTTAGGTACCTAACTCCATAATACTACATCAGTTTGTATCATATTTATATTGTAATTGTCTAAGGTTCTTAAACTTCAACTTCATAACTTGATTGCTTTCAAAATCTTTAGATTTTCACCAATATCTTTCTTTTACATCACGTCTTTCTATCGAATACCACCTGATGGGCTTCATATCCTACCGCTACAAATGAAAGGATGTAGGAGAAATATAATGATGAATTTCCAAATTTTTTGAAGTAAATCAAGTTTAGGGATGAAGTTTAAGAACCTTGGATGATTGCAATGAAAATTTAATGCAAAATGACGTAGTTTGATGAGGTTAGGTACCTAAGCTTATATAAGGTTGTTAGGTATATTCACTTTACCCTATATATATATATATATATATATATATATATATATATATATATATATAGGGATTACTAAACTACTTCTTTAAAAAAATACATTCAGGAGATAGAAATTGTTGAACAAAAAGACCCAAAGTTTATGATTTTTACCATGTTTAGTTCAAAATTAAAGTAATTTTCATTTTTGGTTTCAAAACTTCTTAATTTTGGTATTTATTTGAAACTTTTTATATTTGGTCATATGATTTTGTTTCTTATTTCGAAGTTTTATATTTGTTGCTTGGTCTTGCTGATTTTGGTATTTATTACAAAGTTTTATATAGATTTTGGTCTTTCAAAAACTAATACATTAATGCCAATAAAAAAAATAATAAAAGGATATGGACACCATTTTTGTAATTTAACTAAAAGATCTTTCAATGGCGCACCGTTAATTGTTAAATCGTACACATAGGCCAAGAGGACTCATGTGTGTCTACTGTCTAGAGACTTGGTCCACAGCAGTTGCCACTAAAATATTTGTGCTTTTAAGCCTTTAACCCAATGGAAGCACTCGCAGCATGACTTCACAGGAGAAACTAGTCTATGGAATCAAATGCACATGAAGCAGTTGTGGATCATACAGATACAGATACAGTTTTAGTTTATCATACAAATTAACCCCCAACTTTCCTTTCTTCTTCCACGCCTCATTGATCCATTCCTCAACCCCAACCCACCCACAAACCCTAGAATTTCTGGAATCCAAGTGGGGTCGGGTTCTATTGGGGTTTTAACATCTGATCGCAATCAACTACCTTATCCTTGACTTTGAATCTTCCCCATTATTACCGTTGAACTGGATATAGAAGAGCACACAGTAGTTGGTGCTTTGTGTTGTTTCCTGGGTTTACTTTACGAGTTCCTATGACGATCTTGACTGTAAATACGCTCTTGATTTGAGGGTTTTTGAGTTTTGACTTCGTTTATTGATCATGGCTAGGCGACATGGATGGGAACTTCCTGCTCACACTTTTCAGGTTCGATTTTGTGCTTAATTCACTACTTCGATCTGCTACGTGTTTGTGTTTTCCCTATTTTTTGCAATGTGGGTTGGATTCCAAGTATTTTAAGTAAAAGTTCTGTCTAATCATGCTTATTTGTTAGAAATTATGGTTCGTATGAGAATAAATCTACGAGATTTACCATATGAATCAACTTTCATTCTTACAAAAACACACACTACCATGTTTGAGGTTGATAAATCCAAATCTATCTAATCAACTTGCAGGTTGTAGCTATTACAGTATACTTCTTACTATCAGTTGCCTTCTATGCATTTTTCTCACCTTTTCTCGGAAAGGACATCTACGAGCATGTGGCAATCGGTGTCTACTCCTTCTTGGTAAATGACATTTTAACCCTTCAATCAGCTATCTCCATGTTCTTCATGATAACCATTGTTATCAACCACAATCTTTCAGGCTCTCTGTGTATTTATCCTTTATGTAAGATGCACAGCTATTGATCCTGCTGATCCTGGCATTCTAATCGACCCAAACAGGGCAATGGCATCACCTTATAGATCCCATAATGGAACCGAATTACCCGGTTAGTGATCCAAATTGTTTTGACTTTTGACCCACCCGTTGACCGACCCGCCCGTTTGTATCAGGAAATGGATCATCTGTTGGAGAAGCTAGCAAGATTGGGTTTCAGAATGTTGGAATATATGAAAATGGTAGCTCAGGTTGTTGTTCAAAAGTTTGGGGATTCTTTTGTGGTTGTATTGTAATAGAGGATTGTAGAAAAGATGAAGATATGCAACAAGGAGGGGAGGAAGAAGCTTTGTTTTGTACACTATGCAATGCTGAGGTATCTATTTTATTTATTTGATTTTTGAAGTTGTATTTTGTATACTCAACTTCTTATGATTTTCTGGAAAAATTATTTAAAATCTTGATTTTACTTTGTTATAGGTGCGAAAGTATAGCAAACACTGCAGAAGTTGTGATAAATGTGTTGATGGGTTTGATCATCATTGTAGGGTAAGATCCAAATTCCAAAATGAAAGAAATGGCAACACATAGATGAAAAATCTTCTAGAATCTTTTTCATTGTTTATATGTAAATTCACATGGCTTAAATTTTTATTGTAAATTATTTGTTGTGCAGTGGTTGAATAATTGTGTAGGGAGGAAAAATTACTTCACATTCGTGTGCCTAATGGCTGTAAGTGTTGTTTGGGTAAGTTGATAATTGAAAAAAATTTGTCATTTGATATTTAATCTATCAAAAGTAATTCTAAATATCTTATTATGTTTTAATGTCAGCTGACTTTTGAATGTGGGGTCGGGATTGCTGTTCTTGTTCGATGTTTTGCTGATAAAAAATCTACAGAAAATCAGATTGCAGATCGCCTTGGAGATGGATTTAGTAGACCTCCATTTGCAACTGTTGTGGTATCTTCACTCTTTCTAGTCATGGACAAGGACAAATTCGTAATTTCAACTTCAATTTTTCATTTTTTTATTTTACCCACTTTTTTCAGGCTATATGTACTGCTGTTTCTTTTCTTGCCACTATTCCACTATGCGAACTCTTCTTTTTTCACATAATCCTCATCCAAAAGGTTTCTCTCTCTCTCTCTCTCTCTCTCTCTCTATATATATATATATATATATATATATATATATATATATATATATATATTAGAAATAACAATTTCTTAAAATTCTTAATACACAGGGGATCACAACATACGAATATGTAGTTGCAATGAGGACTCAAAGTGAGCCTCCAGGAGCATCAATAGATGGAATGGATCAACAAAGCTTGCAATCATCTCCAACAAGCTCTGCAATCACTGCCATTAGTGGAAGAAGCTCCCATGGCTTAAGCTTACAACACAAAGGTGCTTGGTGTACGCCTCCAAGAATTTTCATGGATCAACAGGTTGTTAGTTGTTACCTTTCTAGAGACTTCCATAATCTTCTAGAATGTTCTATAACCTTCTTTACCATGTGATTGATTATATCGGATTCTAAAATTATTCAGGATGAAGTGGTCCCACATCTAGAACCAGGGCGCCTACCATCAACGGTTGATCCGGATGCAGTTGACAAGGGTAAGAATTTACCAAAACGCCCTGTGAGAATCAGCGCATGGAAGCTTGCGAAACTGGATTCAAATGAAGCAATCAAAGCAGGGGCAAAAGCGAGGGCGTCATCCTCTGTTTTGCGCCCTATAGGATCTAAATTCGATCCTGACCGTTTATCAAGTAGCAATGTGAGTGGGAGAAGCAGCCCTTCGCATTACAAATTTCATGAAAGGAGCCACTCAAAAAGCTCTTATCCGCCTAGTCGAGCCAGCAGGGATGATGACGTGGATACATGTAATCATAGTGTTAGTAATTTAAGTAGTCCGGCTCCTGGTAGAGACCATTTTAACCCTGTGTACCAGTCTTCAGCGAATCAGTCCCCATGGTCTGGGAAAAATGAGCCAATGGTGGTGCCTCCTCCTCCCCTTCCTCCTAGAAGAAACAACAACAACAACAACAACAATAACAACTTGGGTGTTGGTGAAAGTACGAGATCGTCCTCGGTGTATTGGGATCAAGAAGCGGGGAGATTTGTTTCTGCTTCAACTACAAGAAGCGTGGGTGGTGGCTCTTCCTCTCAGGCTTCGGGGTCGGAGCTTACGTATACGGGACGGTCGATATTTTTTGGTGGGCCGCTAGTTGGTGGTGGTCGGGGCGGGACCGGGAGCGGGCCGCCAGGTGGGGTGGCGGGTGGTGGTGGTGGTCAGAGGGGGGCGGCCACGTTGAGTTATTATCAGCAAGGTAGAGCGCAGAGAGGAGGGCAGCTACCGGTGTTTGTGCCGAATGAGCAAAATCAGACTCCTAGATTATAATGAGATTGTTTATCTAATTTGGTTATTGGACTTGTGTAGATTTGTTTCTTGAATATTTATTTATCAGCAAATTTTGTTGTGTTTCTTGACCTATTGCATGCATACCTTTGTGTTCGGTTTGTTGAGCTTGAATGTAGCAACACACTCAACCTTTGTGTCTTAACTCTTAAGGGTGAGAAACCTGCTTACATGCTTGATGATAGGTAACCGGGTGAATAAGACGCATCACACATGGATTAAGTGACTAGAAAAGCATGAGATGTACAAAGTTCTCATGATCAATGAGATTGTGTAACGTCTACAACTGAGCAAGATAATGTTATTGATAATGTGATTGTGGTTTTTAATTATATGAGATTCATAAATAGAGATTGCGGACCTAAATTTCACAATCATTGTTGGTTGACAACCATTAGACTCCACGGCTCATCAATTTGTCATTTTGTGGTTGGTCAACTAATCAAATTGTATTCAATGACATGTAAGTACACATAACTTAGTGTTAACGGGATCTCCTTAGAAGCAAATACATGGTCATTGAAGATCCTTTATAATTCACACTATGACTATGTATATAAATCCTTGTAAGTTGTTTGATTTCCCATGTTAGGGGTCTTCTCAAGCTGTTTTTTCTCTTCTCTACAAATAAGTTAGAGCAACAGAAAACAAACAAAGATTATTGTTGGTTCAACCAAACAGATGACATGTAAAATATGAAAAGCTGATTATTATCTAACAACTTACTTTGATATAGTTCATGATGTATGTTAAATCACCATCTTCGATTGTATTATCTTCTTCAACAAACATTGTTTAAGAGAATATCAACCTCTTTATCAATATATATATATATATATATATATATATATATATATATATATATATATATATATATATATATTGTAAGTATAGGTTGTTCCTCTTCGTCCTCAACATCGACTTTATATTTGCTAGAAATAAATGCCACTCGCGAGACCATATAACAATTAAGGTTGTTATTGGGAAAAGTGATATTTGCTAATTCACGGCCATTATGTCTTGAGATTCGTGTTTTTTTTTTAAACAAAATAAATTTATGTGGTTTTTTGTGTATAGTTGGCCTCCTACTAACACCATTTTTTGTGTAGAGTTGGCCTCTTTTTGATAGATATTATAGCAAACATAAAATTAAATACATTGTCAAAGTCAAAGCATATTGAATCCATCTAACTACGAACTATGTTGGGTTCAAAAGGGGTGCCATTGTGATTTACATAAATGTGAGGGTGGTCATTGTGATGTAAACATATCTTGTGGCCAAGATTTGTGGTCATCTAACTGAATTCCCTATTAACACTCTCGTTAATTGGTTTTTCAAGGTCAGCATTTTTCAAAGTAAATTTTTTTTATCAAAATGGGGAAATACGTTTTTTTTTAGTTAATTTGACTCCCAAAATACACAAGTTTTTCATCCATCCGTACACAACCTGGTCCATTTCTGTAAGGACCAGCAAATACAAGAAACCTTTTCTCCTTTTCTCAATCCGCTTTTCATATCAATATCCAAAGAGCCACAAAAAAAAATCCATCCTCATCATCATCTTGAAGCCATTTGAATATCTTAATAATCTCTATGGGTGATTACGTTCATAACAAAGAAAACGAACATTGATGTGATGTTTAAGAAAAAGCTACAGTTTTGAGAAAGATAATTCGATTTTGGTGGTGTTTGTTTGCTTTTAGGTTAAAATGGGAGGAGGAGGTAGGGGTCTAGATGAAACCGCAACATGGTCTGTAGCCCTGGTTTGTGCAATCATCGTTATAATATCGATCTTGATGGAAAAAGCTATTCATCATGTTGGACATGTAAATATATAATAATCCTCAACCTTTTATAATCATCTAATCCTTTATATATATATATATATATATATATATATATATATATATATATATATATATATATATATATATATATATATATATATATATATTTTCCATTTGAAGTTGGAACGTTACATTGTTCCAATATAACTAATCGATACATGCATTTACAATATTTCAGCATCTGAAACATAGAAATAAAGAGGGACTGCTTGAAGCACTGGAGAAGATCAAAGCAGGCAAGAATATTACTATACATTATGAGCTAGGGTTAATTAATAATAATTATTATATGAATGTTTCTTTTTGTGTATATCTTGTATTTGATGATTGATATATATATATATATACGTGTGTATTATGGTTGCATGCAGAGCTTATGATTCTTGGATTTATATCTCTGTCGTTGACATTTTGTCAGAACTCGATTGCTTCCATTTGTGTTTCTAAAATACTTACGAAAGATTTCTTGCCATGCAAAAGAAAACCCGATGGTAAAGAACCAGAAGATGACGAAGACGACGCTGAAGATGCTCGTCGCAGGCTTTTAATGTATGATACTCATCGGAAATTAGGAGGCGGAGAACCCGTAGAATGCAAACCCGTAAGAAATATTTTCAATATCCTTAATTAATTGCTACGATTAATTAACTTATTTATGTTATATTCGTTTAAAATCATTTAACAATGGTGTTATTTAATTAATTAAATTATGTTTTAATCAATTAATCAGGGATACGAACAGCTTATAACAGTTACAGGATTGCATCAACTCCACATATTCATTTTCTTTTTGGCAGTTTTTCATGTTATTTATAGTGCCCTCACTATGATTTGTGGAAGAGCAAAGGTGACATTAATTTATAAATAATTTTTTTTTTTTAAAAATCTATGAATTTTCTTTTGATCGATTTTGCTCATCTTAAAGCCTTTCTTTCGATGCAGATCCGTGAGTGGAAACACTGGGAAAAAGATATCTTGCAGCAACAACAATCCGGACACGGTGTTTAATTATTAATTAATTACTTCTTTTTTTCATTTATTACCAAAGTTTTATTGTGTTTTTTTTTTTTTTTCTTCATATTTTTTATGTTTAATTATTTATGCAGATCCTTCAAGGTATCGGCTTACAAAAGAAATATCTTTTGTTAAAGGGCATGCCACCAAGACCGGATCCTCAGCATTCTTCTACATTGTAAGCCAATTATATCACTAGCTTTAATTCTCATGTTCTTATTCTAAATTATTAGATAACTTTTTGTTAATTAATAAAGTAATTAACAAACAAATAATTCATTTAATTTCAGATCTGTTTTTTCCGGCAATTCTTTACCTCTGTTGGTAGATCAGATTACATGGCGATGCGCCATGGGTTCATTTCTGTGGGTTCTACATTCTACAACCCCGATTTATTTTCTCATTTATAAAAATACTAATAGTTAATTAATATATAATATTCATGACTTTCTTCCATTGACATATATATACAGGTTCATTTAGCTCCTGGAAGTCAATTTAACTTTCAAAAATACATAAAGAGGTCACTTGAAGACGATTTTAAAATACTTGTGGGAGTAGGGTAATTACTTTCATACACTCTTAATTATAACTACATGCATTATATAAATCAGTTATTTCAGCTGTATGAATTTTAATAAATTTGGCGACACTTTCAGTCCGTTGTTATGGACTGTTGCGGTTATCTATCTGTTTGCCAATGTTGAAGGTGAATCTTAATTTATCCAAAGTCCTTGTGTTTTTAAGTATAAATATCCATGCATTATGCATACATATTATTACATACATAATATTAATAATCCATTCATAATGTATGTATATGCAGGAACTCATGCTATGATTTGGCTATCTCTATTCCCTGTTGTTGTAAGGATTAATTTTCTCATGAATTTAATCAAGAAAAGTTAACGATTTCCTAATTATGTGATCAAGAGAGAGAATCTTGATTAATTCTTTACTGTTAATTAGTAACTTATAATGTTGATTTTGGGATAAAGATAATCTTAGCAGTTGGAACAAAGCTTCAAGCCATTATAGCACGAATGGCTATTGAAATCCAAGAAAGACATGCTGTTGTAGAAGGCGTACCTCTTGTTCAAGTCACGGATAATCATTTTTGGTTAAAGGATCCTTCGCTAATTCTTTCATTAATTCAGCTCACGCTCTTCATGGTACGTATCTTTCAGTAATATATATATTAGTTATATACTACAATATAATTATTGTAACAAACATTTTCAGTATATATATACCATTTTGCTGTGTTATAAATTATTGCAACTTAATTTAATAGTTTGCTAACTTGTGAGTTGTGAATTTTTGTATGTCCAGAACGCGTTTGAGTTAACACACTTCTTTTGGATATGGGTATTAAGTTTTCTTTATCTTTTTTCTTACAAAAACTAGTTATATATGCTAATTTATAAATATGATTGACTACGTACATGATGTGCTATCGACTACTACAGTATGAGTTCGGACTCTTCTCTTGCTTTCATCAAAAGCCTCTTCTTCAACTTGTTAGAGTTTTAATTGGGTGAGTTTGGTAGTTGTTTCTTATTTAAAGGAAAAACAAAAAATTAAACCTTTTGTTGTACTCATTCTTTGTCTTTGATCAAAAGTTTTTACTTTTAATCTTTATCCAATACAAAAAAAAATTCCATGGTGGCTCTAGTTGCATCACATATTCACATGTTAAGTATGAGAGTTATTATTGGGCATGCAAGTTCGAAGATTTTGATATGTTTGCTTTATTAATTTACCAGAATTATAGTTCAAGTCTTATGCGCTTATGGCATCCTTCCACTCTATGCCCTTCTTTCTCAGGTACCTCTAACTACTATTCCCACTAATAAATAGGGTAAATTAAGAGTCAAAATGGGTAATATTTAACATGACTTTTTTTTGTGCAGATGGGTTCGAAGATGAAGAGAACAATTTTCGATGATCAGACCTCGAAAGCCCTCAAGCATTGGCATAAACATGCAGTGAAAAAGAAGGATGCCAAGGGGCAATCTGGTCATCTTCCGACGTCTGGAAATGCTGCAGCACAAAGCGCTGCTCCAGACGCTGCTGACGGGGGTCACGCTTCCTCGGGCCAATCGGCTCACATTGTGGCCAGCGTAGACATTCCCCAAGATAAAAAGAACGCATCATGATTGATCTATCCCTAACTTGCTTTGATCTTCTAGCTCATTTTGTGTTTGTTGTTGATTATATTAATTAATATATATATGAACCTAATATATACTAGAAGATATATTCATGATGATGAGAACATCAAAGAATGGCATACAAGTATATGTGATTATGTTTAGAAGGTACATATATTGTTCCCACTCAATTGGTTCCTTATTTGTAATTAAATGTTACATATTTCGGTTTCATGTCTTATTATTTGTGCATTTTATTATCTTCTTCATTCCTATCTAATTAGATGTGGCACAATTGGTTTCT